CACACACACACACACACAAACATACACATATGTCTTTCCCCTCTTTCTTTCTCAGACCCTACCCTTCCACTTTTCCTCTATACTAGCATTGGAGCCATAATTATTACCCCAAATTTCTTGACCTTGTAGAAGCAAGAAGGGATGGCTCAGCCACTCTCTCTGCTCCGCAGAACTAAAAATAACCAGACATATGGGAAGCGTGCAGAAAAGGAGACCAGCTGAAGCAGAGGGGAGAGAAACCCACTGACTATCCCTTGAATCCTCCCCCTTTGCAGCTGATTCCTAACTTCTTATTGAGCTTGGATATTGAGCCAGCATATGTAGTGATCTGAGCATTGGACTATGACTCCGGAGACCAGGTTTGAATCCTAGCACAGCCATGGAAACCCACTGGGTGACCTTGGGCAAGTCACACTCTCTAAGCCTCAAAGGATGGCAATGGCAAACCTCTGGAGAAACTTGCCAAGAAAAACCTGTGATAGAGCTGCCTTAGGTTGACATAAATCGGAAATGACTTGAAGGCACCCAACAACAATATTGCTCTCTAGTGGCAGGATGGGATGGGCAAATTCCTAGGGAGGACCAGAAATTTGGCAGCTTTTTAAAATTATTTATTAAATTGTTTATAACTTATTTAATCATCATCACCAAGAGTAATGAAACAGAGCTAGGCAGGGGTCCTGTATAGGGTTGCCAGAGTGAAAACTGGAAAGGGTGCTTGTACATTTAATGGCTAATAGAAGAGGAAGTTTCAGCAGATGTTCCTTTCATCAGCTTGCATGACAATTCCTGCTGAAATTCCTCCTTGTGTACAACCATTAAAAGATACAGTAGCCCTTTCCCATTTTCAATCTGGTTTGTAGGAAAGATGCAGCCCACTTGATCTTGTGTTACTGTGACTCCGCACTATTTAGTGAGCATTCCTCATATTGTCTATACTAGAGCTGCTGGGAGTTGCAGTCACACAGTATTTGGAGAGTTGCATGATTCCCACTCCCTTCATACACCAAGGATGAGGAATTTTTTTTATCCTCTGGATGTTGACAGACTACTACTTCCATCATCCTTCTCCCCACTGGCCAGGTTAGCAGGGTCTATTGGAAAGTCCAGGAACTCCTGGAGTGCTGACTGTTCCTCATCCCTATTATATACTTTGATGCAAATGATACACTGAAGACACATATTTTTTTTCTTTTAAAATTAAATTAAATTAAAAAATAACAAGTGGGGTGGCATAGTGGTTTGAATGTCGGACTACGACTCTGGAGACCAGGGTTCAATTCTCCGCTTGGCTACAGAAACCCACTGGGTGACCTTGGATGAGTCACACTCTCTCAGCCTCAGGGGACAGCAATGGCAAACTTTCTCTGCTTTGCTTTGCAGAGGGGCGGGATATAAATTATTATTATTATTATTTATAAAACTTGCCAAGAAAACCCCATAATAGAGCTGCCTTAGGGTTACCAAAAGTCAGAAACAACTTGAAGGCACCCAACAACAGCAACAACAAACCAACACAATTTTCTAACCTTTTAAAAATCAACTTACATAATTTCTGGGCTCATTTGAGACAGACACACCACATCTCAGCCCCACACCTTGAGTATTTTTAGTGAGCCTGGGGCAATCAATATGCTTTCCCCATAGTGGCAAGAATAGAAAACCAGGGCATTTTTATTTAGTCACCAGAGGGCACTGCTGTACTTCTTTTCCAGGGAATCCCTGGGCAAATTAGGATTCTTCCATACAAGTCTTGAGAACTATAGAATTGTCTCCAATGTCCCTTTCATGTCAGAAGGGATTGGACAATTGGAGTTCTATGGATGGATTGCTCTCATTCTTCTTCCTCCTTATCTCCTTATTGTTGTTAGCTGCCCTTGAGTTGGCTTTCGCTCATGGTGACCCTGTGTATGAGACATCTCCAAGCCCCTTGATCTTCCACTGCTTTGCTTAGGTCTTGTAGATTCAGGCCAGTGACCTCCCTAATTCAGTCTATTCATCTGGTGTGTGATCTTCCTCTCTTTCTACTGCCTTCTACCTTTCCTAGCATTACACTTGGCCCTCCATATCTACACCTTCTTTATCCACTGATTCAAGCACCCACGGCTTTAAATTTTTTAAATATATATATGGAAGATCAATGAAGAAAGTGCAAAAGCAGGGTTAATGCTGAACATGATGAAAACAAAAATAATGACCACCAAGGACCTTTACAAGTTCAACCTAGA